AGATGTGAGAGAAGATGTGAGAGAAGATGTGAGAGAATATGTAAGAGAAGACGTGAGAGAAGATGTGAAGATGAGCAGATGTGAGAGAAGATGTGAGAGAGATGTGAGAGAAGATGTGAAGATGAGCAGATGTGAAGATGAGAAGATGTGAGAGAAGGTGTGAAGATGAGCAGATGTGAAGATGAGCAGATGTGAAGATGAGCAGATGTGAAGATGAGCAGATGTGAGAGAAGATGTGAAGATGAGCAGATGTGAGAGAAGATGTGAGAGAAGATGTGAAGATGAGCAGATGCGAGAGAAGATGCGAAGATGAGCAGATGTGAGAGAAGATGTGAGAGAAGATGTGAAGATGAGCAGATGTGAGAGAAGATGTGAAGATGAGAAGATGTTTTACAGACCCCCACTATTGGAAGAACCCTGCGCTCAGACGCTCTCGGGAAAAAAGGTGAATGTTGAATGCCTCGCGGTCACTGAAAAAATGATCGCCATCGGGAAAGAATGACCCAGGAGGTCATTGGTAATTGCTGGAGTTGCTGGATCCTCCTCTCCTCTCATCGCAAGTATTCTTTGATTGTTAGTCCAATGAACAACTGCATGGCTCTACCATCTCCAATGGACAAACCACTTGACCACACTGCGATTATACCATGCCATTGCGATACCTTCAGAGCCTTGAAAAGAAACCCAATTCTTCATAGTCCCCGCCTTTCTATGCATAAACTCTACCCATTACATGCTGGCGCGAAGTGACAAGGGTGATGGATGACCAATGACATACAAAATGGACAACTACATCACAATCAGCCCATCTAGATTTTTGCTGTGCTTGGCCGGCTCACCTTTGACGCAAAGTGACAGCTAGCAGCCAATCAAATGTGGATCAGCAGAGGCACACACACACAGCCCAAATGGCAAAACTGCACCCTGCAGCACCCAGTTCCGGGGAAACACACTGTCAACTGATCTCCTTCGCACCAAGAACCCATAGCTGCATAGATCGAACTCAAAACTACACCTATCCCAGCATCAAGTGACAACATAAATGATCATAAATGCAACCTGAACTTCGTGATGCTAACTAGACATAACATAACTACGCCAAAATGCAACGGACCTGATTCAAAATGCAGCAAGGTGGCTTTCGGTGGAACATCACTGGTGTGTAGCGCTACAAGGTCGTTCTTCGTCTTTGTCCTGACAGTGGTCGTCAATCTATGTGGCCAATTCATTGCTGTCTAGCTGTTCAGTTGTGTTCAGCTGTCCTCCTCAAAGAGTAAGCAAGAACCATCGCTCCGAGAACATGTTCAGAATTGGTTCCCCAAAGGCATACCACATAGGCGAACCTGATGGACATGGCCCGAGGATGAAGTTGCAAAACGATAACAACTAAAACTGCACGCTTTCCCAAAGCTCTGGTGATTGCAGCCTCGGTGAAGCACCCTCCTGTGATCAGCTTTAGTTTTGGGGAGAAGAGCAGGACTTGAGGTGACTTTGCAACAGGCAGCGGGAAGTTTGTGGAGCCTGACCGAGAAGATATGAGAGGGGCCAAAATCTTTGAGAAAATATATAGAGGCAAACATTATAAATTCTGATAAATGTATAGAAATGTGTGAAAGTTTGATGCTCCTGTCTTCTCTTCTTGGCTGGTGGGCTTGCCAACGTCAGCGTCAAGGGACGTTTGCAGCAGGAACAAAATCCAGCCCAACTCACCTGCACCAGCGGAGTGATCCCACCATTGGGATCTATTAAACCCACCACCAAGTCAATGCATATAATATATATATATACTAAACGAATATTATATATATGTGTGCATATTAAATATTATACTTATATAATTCTTGTAATTATAAATGTCATCAATCATCATCAATCATCATAAATCCAATAGAAATCAGGAGCAACTCGGGCCTCGTCACTATCGCCATTCTGAAGCTCCGAATGTTCAGCTTGCAGCTGTTCCCATGAAGGGCCTGGCGCGTAAGAAAAAACGTCAAGGAACATATCGAAAGTGGCACAAAGAAACACAACGCGAAACGCCGCGAAAGTGGAACCGTGGCACATCGTAGCACCTGGCTCAGCCCACTGCACCGCAGTATGGCAGGGAGACGTGATTCGCAGCAAGCGCTTCTTCCCGGCCAGCCGCTGCCCTAAACAAAACACCAACAAAAAGGAAAGCAATGCTGCAATGCTTCACAAAGTAGCCACACTTGGAAGCATCCAGAAGCTGACACTTGAGTTGCCGATTTTGCCATACGAGTCGTATGGAGTTGTTCAGAAGTTGTTCATGTCTTTCTTGTGCTTGTTCCAATGTGTTCCAAAACTCAAGACTTCCAGACCAAGTGGCAGAATCCGCAAGCACCGTGCCACAGGGATGCAAAACCGCAGGTTTCATAGCTCGGCACTTTCATGGCATCCGCAAACAGGTACTGCATCAATGACAAAGTGCAATGGAGGATCCTACCTTCCATATCCTTCAATCATACCTTGTTGATCCTTGTTGTTTTGATGTCACCAGGACACTCTCAAACAATGTGTGTGTGTGCACTCCAGCTGCAGGCTTACAAGACCTTAAAGCGGTGCATAGTTGTCTTGTTTGCTGCTCAAATCTCCGCATGTTGGGTCATGTTGATTGGTGAGCAGATCCTATGCCGCACCATAAGGCATCGGCATCCTATTGGAAGCAATATGCTTTATACGATTCCCATGATTCATGCTGCAGCCCAATCGTGACAGCCAAAGGTAGGAAACCATGTGGCACCACCAGTGCAGCTCCACCATGGCACCTGTGCAGTGCACCTGTGCAGTGCACATGTAGCACGACAGCCGAACCTGCCATTGAGCTGGACGCATCCAAACCTGGCATGGCGCACTGGACGACCTGTGAGCTGCGTCCTGTCGTGAGTTTCATCCACCTCCTGCAGTGCCGACGTTCCAGGCACTGGCCATAGCAAGGCCTCAACGGATCCCTTGATTTGAGCTGAGATTCTTCAACTCTGAAGGAGAAAAAGTATGTAAAGCACGCCCAAAAAAAAAGGTAGGAAAGCAGCTGTTATCAAATATTCAAACAGCTGAGTGTGAACAATAATTTTCTGGTGGCCTGGGAAATGTAGAGTTGTAGGGCGCTTCAATTCGTTGCCCTACATCCAAGCGGCTTGCGAGCTCAAGTGTAGCAATCTGCATGCAACTGACTCTGCTTTGGTTTTGATTTTTTTTGTGTAGCGTCACTCTTTCATAAGGTAGAGCTTGTTTCCAGGAATCAGGAAGAGCCGGATTTTTTTGTGAACCTGAAGGATCTTCTCGTCAGGACAGTTGAGCAAATTGACATGTGTTGACATGTGTTGACATGTGTTTTTGAAGCCAGTGCTGGTTGAGCCAATATGGATCAGACTTGGTCAAATGAGAACAAAGTGCGAAGACACTGTAGCAATTTTGCCAAAAGTTAACAACCCAAACCATCCTGCACACTGGCAAAAGAAAGAGAAGAAAAGGAATCTCATCAAGCAGCAACACTGCCTGTGCTACCTGCAACTACCTGCAACTACCTGGATCTACAGCAGCTGTGCATCTTTTCATCGGCCCCACGCCCTCGAAGCTGCCGCGGCACGTGCCTGTGCCTGGCGCGCCTCCTGGCGCAAGCGCGAAGCAGAGGAACAAATGGTGCATTGCAAACAAATCAAGGCAGGGCGCAGTGTGCCCGTCTTCAGTGTTCGATGAAACCTAGATCCGTGGGATCAAACATCTTATCTATGAACAATGACATAACATGACGAATATTCATGGAAGAAATGGCTCAGGGCTCACATGGGCCCTGCGCAGTCCTCCTCGGCGTTTTCAGCTTTACAACGCATGGTCTCCGCTTCGCTCTTAGCAGCTTCGAGGTCCACTCGCAAAGCTTCCGTCGCACCTCGATGCCACAACTCCCCTCCGCGGAGGTGCCAAACCATCCCTGGCTTTGAGTCCACATGGCGTGTCTGCCGTGCAGGCTCTAGTGATGCTACAAATATCTTGGCCGATATGGCACATCATGGCACACTGGCACACCTCGCTCTTGAGAACACATAGAATTGATCACATGATCGCAGTCAAATCGTAGTTTCTGAGAAAGGCACGCTCAGCCAGCTCCAGCTTGCTAACAGCGTTCTGCTCAGACTCTAACAAGCCTCGTATTGTCGCACGATGGTGTCATGACCCCCATCTGTCCTGATCCATTGTTCCACCAGTTGCTTTGGATGGGATCCTACAAACATGCCGGAATTCGATGACATCTGGGCTCCACAATAAAAGCCGTGCAATTTGGGCATGCAAAAAAACACAGAATCCTATCATCTCTGGACTGTAACTAAGGGAGCTAACTAGTTTGGATTTCTCCTTGCAGTAGCAGCTCGGAACACTGTGCTGGACAATTAAAGCCTCTTGTGACCTTGATCTGATTTTTTTCAAGCACAGCTTTTGTGTTACTTCCTGACAGGTTCCGCTGAAGTTGATTTAACCGGGCAGGCCTGGCCCCAACTCTGCACCCAGTCCATATATTTTGACACAACAGTAGACCTAGTAGACCCCCCCAAATTATGGCATTTCATCGGGATGCCATTGTAGGGAAAAGTCACCCGACCAAGTTTCGGCGTGGAAAAGTGCCCTTGAAACACGCGATTTCCAAGGAAAAACACCATGTAAACGCAGTGTATAGGGTAACAGTCCGCTCAAGTTCCGACCATTCCCTTTGTTTTTCGATTTGCTCCTTGGGCCCCGGCGCAGCATGGACTCCTCCGAGAGTTGCTGCTTTGCTTCAAGCGTCAGCAATCCTTCCATAGATGCCATGGAGCAGGGAGTACAGTGCGGGATTCCAAGCGACAAACAGTGAAACAAATACTTGAAATGTATCGCAATTGCATCATGAATCATACATATGCTGCATGTGTATTCCTGTTGCATTTCTGAGATGCGCTCAGCCAGACTAGTGACTAGGTGTCCTTTGCTTTGGTCTTGCAGCTCTTGAAGGCAACTCTCGGTTTCTTGGTGGCGCATCTCAGACTTCAAAAGGCCTGGGACATCGTCCCCGCACGAGTCACAGGAGCGATAGCACATGGAAAGGAGCGCACGGCTATAGAATGCTCTATGTCAATCTATACTGTCATGATGCTGCACAGTGAGTCTCTAGCCCATGCCATATAAATCATGTTGCGGTTGTTCTACAGTTCTGGTTTGCGGAATGGACACTCACTGCCGCCGTGGATTAAGCTGCTCACGCTCTTCAAGCTCTTGCAAGCTCTTGCAACGAACTTCCAGTTCTTCGCAGCGTTCCTCTACTTTGTCAGCTCGGTCACGTTGCTCGCTTTCATTCTGAGCCATTGCTTCAAGTGCCAACAGTTCCGCATTTTTGTCCGCCAACTGCTCTTCCACGGAGTTCAGACCTCATGATGCAGCTCGTGTTCATTGTGTTCGCCATGGATGTCAGAAAAGATTGGCGCAGGATTATCCCAAAACAGAACAAGAATTGTTGTGCTTGACAAATCGTATGCATCAAACAAGCACATGAAAGCAGCACCCAAACGTTCCAAGAAGACCAAAACCAAGTTCCAAACGTTACTTGACATTGGTGGCCCAAGCGTCTGGAACTTTATTTTGAAGTACCAGGCCATACTGCGGAGAGGGCAAGAACTAAGTGAGTTCCGCTCTCAATTGTGCTCCTTGGGCCCCGGCGCAGCATGGACTCCTCCGAGAGTTGCTGCTTTGCTTGAAGCGTCAGCAATCCTTCCATAGATGCCATGGAGCAGGGAGTACAGTGCGGGATTCCAAGCGACAAACAGTGAAACAAATACTTGAAATGTATCGCAATTGCATCATGAATCATACATATGCTGCATGTGTATTCCTGTTGCATTTCTGAGATGCGCTCAGCCAGACTAGTGACTAGGTGTCCTTTGCTTTGGTCTTGCAGCTCTTGAAGGCAACTCTCGGTTTCTTGGTGGCGCATCTCAGACTTCAAAAGGCCTGGGACATCGTCCCCGCACGAGTCACAGGAGCGATAGCACATGGAAAGGAGCGCACGGCTATAGAATGCTCTATGTCAATCTATACTGTCATGATGCTGCACAGTGAGTCTCTAGCCCATGCCATATAAATCATGTTGCGGTTGTTCTACAGTTCTGGTTTGCGGAATGGACACTCACTGCCGCCGTGGATTAAGCTGCTCACGCTCTTCAAGCTCTTGCAAGCTCTTGCAACGAACTTCCAGTTCTTCGCAGCGTTCCTCTACTTTGTCAGCTCGGTCACGTTGCTCGCTTTCATGCTGAGCCATTGCTTCAAGTGCCAACAGTTCCGCATTTTTGTCCGCCAACTGCTCTTCCACAGAGTTCAGACCTCACGCCCAAGTGCGGGTCGTCTTCATTGCGTTGGAAAACAAGAGAATTGATTGGCCGTCGAAAGTAATTTCCTAGAACCACCGAGCAATTCAGATCCGGATCTGAGCATACTTATTTCGATGATGCAAATCGCCACAAACAAACGCACAGTCTGGGACAACGGGACAAAGGGCAAGGGAACTCAGGAACAATGCCGTCTCACACCTTTCAGCCTAGCCACGTTTTTCTGCAGCCAACTCACTGCTTTCCTTGGGCAAATGCGAGAACTTCTGAACAGCGAACATGCCAAGACTAGTATAGCACTCTTTGAGAAAAATCAATGATTACAGTTTCAAGAAGGGAAAGGGATCCATATTATTTTTGTATCTTGCCCTCATTCGGAACAGTGAATAACTCAAAATAGACAAAAACACATGGGACATACAAACCAGAAAAAAAATGTGGAAACAACGTCATGATGAGATCATTTTTAACTCAGCGACCCTTGGACTACTTCGGACCGAAGGCAATGCCGCGGGAGAAATATCCGCCGGTGGATCAAGGAGGGCGCAAAACGTGGCAGGACCGCAGGCAGAAACAAAACAATGCCACGAAGAAACACAGGTAAAATATGTCAATATGTCAATAATGACACTCGACAATCTCGACAAATCTCGACAAATTGCAAAATCTACTTGCAATGCACTATGCTATGCACCTCTGTATCTTACTGGCGCTCCAAAGCATTAAGCTGATCCAAACCAAGTGTCTGCTTGAGAACTGGAGGTACGCGCAGGCCTTCCTGATTCTTCGAAAAACTGTAGGTATATTTTTCAATAATATCACCTCTCGTTGCATGCGTTCACTCGCGAAAAACCAGGTCTAAACATTCCACAATGACTCAGCCAAAATCCGCCCACACCGCTTTGGCGGTGAAGGCGTGCTTATTGGGGGGCAAAACAGCAACACTAAATGCTCAATGACATTTGTTAATATAGCAGTCGCTATAACATACACCCGGGCAAGCCGGCGGCGGAAGTTTCCCAAACATAAATGACCTATAGTTCAAAGACACCCTGTCCCGACACAACCGTTTGATTTTTTCAGCGAGAGACGAAGCAAAGTCTTCACACTCCACACTCCACACTTCACACTGCACTCTTCGCACTCCAAACTTCAAACTTCACACTCCACACTTCACACTTCACACTTCTCACTTCTCACTGCTTCCTTCACACTCCAAACCTCACACTTCACACTTCACACTTCACACTGCGCTCTTCGCACTCCAAACTGAACTTCACACTCCACACTTCACACTCCACACTTCACACTTCACACTTCACACTTCTCACTTCTCACTGCTTCCTTCACACTCCAAACCTCACACTTTACACTTCACACTTCACACTGCGCTCTTCGCACTCCAAACTGAAACTTCACACTCCACACTTCACACTTCACACTTCTCACTGCTTCCTTCACACTCCAAACCTCACACTTCACACTTCACAGTCCACACTTTACACTTCTCACTTCTCACTGCTTCCTTCACACTCCAAACCTCACACTTCACACTTCACACTGCGCTCTTCGCACTCCAAACTGAAACTTCACACTCCACACTTCACACTCCACACTCCACACTTCACACTTCACACTTCACACTTCTCACTTCTCACTGCTTCCTTCACACTCCAAACCTCACACTTCACACTTCTCACTTCTCACTGCTTCCTTCACACTCCAAACCTCACACTTCACACTTCACACTTCACACTGCGCTCTTCGCACTCCAAACTTAAACTTCACACTCCACACTTCTCACTTCCCACTGCTTCCTTCACACTGCACACTTCACACTGTACTCTTCACGCCCCACACTTCACACTGCTCTAAACCTACGTGCAACAAAAAAACACTAGCGCCAAAATGGAGAAAATCTGCTAACAAATCCATTTCGCAGCCTTCATGCAGCCAGTCCAAGACGATTTACGAGATCCAGCTGCAAAAGACATTACGCATGCAGCCAAAGCAAGAAGCAACCTTGACGCAGCCATTCCAATGCGATCTGCGGAGACTGAGTTGCAAAACACAATAGAACTACGCGCAATGGCGTCGGAAATTGTAGCTCCAAAACCGGATCTCGACGCCAGAGCGAAAAAAAGACGATTTCGAAGCACTTTTTAAAAGGATTTTTAGAAGGAAAATCATTAGCGCCAAAATGGAGAAAATCTGCTAACAAATCCATGTCGCAGTCTTCATGCAGCCACTCCAATACGATTTACGAGATCCAGCTGCAAAAGACAATAGTATTACGAATGCAGCCACAGCACGAAGCAACCTTGACGCAGCCATTTACACTGCGGGAACGATCCTACAGTTGCAAATCACAATGGAATTCCATCGGCAACTCATCCACCAGCACCACTTGCAATCCTATTTACATTGCGATAACGATCCTACAGTTGCAAATCACAATGGAATTCTGTCGACCGCACATGCGATAACGATCCTACAGTTGCAAATCACAATGGAATTCTGTCGACCGCACATGCACGAAAAACACTTGAAACCCCATTTACAATGCGGAACCGATCCGACCATGGTCCGAGAATGATCCGCCCATGATCCGACCACACACGAGACCGTCTCGCACCCGTCGCACCGCAGAGGTAGATCATCGACATTCGGGGACGCACTTTGTCCGGAAAAACATAGGGTTTCGTGCATCTGCTATCTCTCAAAAACGCATTTCGTGCGAGACTTCCTCCAAAACTCCATCGGCAACTCCTCCACCAGCACCACTTGCAATCCCATTTACAGTGAGGGAACGATCCTAGAGTTGCCAATCACAATGGAATTCCATCGGCAACTCATCCACCAGCACCACTTGCAACCCCATTTACAATGCGGGAACGATCCTACAGTTGCAAATCACAATGGAATTCTGTCGACCACACATGCACGAAAAACAGCTGAAACCCCATTTACAATGCGGAACCGATCCGAGACCGATCCGAGACCAATCCGAGGATGATCCGACCACACACGAGACCGTCTCGCACCCGTCGCACCGCAGAGGTAGATCATCGACGTTCGGGGACGCACTTTGTCCGGAAAAACATAGGGTTTCGTGCATCTGCTATCTCTCAAAAACGCATTTCGTGCGAGACTTCCTCCAAAACTCCATCGGCAACTCCTCCACCAGCACCACTTGCAATCCCATTTACAGTGAGGGAACAATTTCTTTGCTAACTCTTTCTGTGACTAACTCTTTCCCTCACTAACTCTTTCTTTGACTAACTCTTTCCCTGACTAAGCTGTTTCTTTGTAACACTCTTTCTTTGACTACCTCATATTCCTGTTAAATCTTTCTTTACTAACTCTTTCCCTCACAACGGTCTTTCTTTGACGTGAACTCTTCCCTCACTAACTCTTTCTTTGACTAACGGTCTTTCCCTCCCACTACTCTTTTCTTTGACTAACATCTTGTGACTTAACTCTTTCTTTTGACTAACTCTTTCTTTGCTAACTCTTTCTTTGACTAACTCTTTCTTTGACTAACTCTTTCTTTGACTAACTCTTTCCCTCACTAACTCTTTCTTTGACTAACTTTTTCTTTGACTAACTCTTTCTTTGACTAACTCTTTCCCTCACTAACGCTTTCTTTGACTAACTTTTTCTTTGACTAACTCTTTCTTTGACTAACTCTTTCCCTGACAGTCTAAAAGTCCGTAACACGGAAGTTTCTCCCCCTAAACTTCCTTTGATCAGCTTTAGCTGGGGGGGGGGCAAAAACGGTTTCGCACCGAGACCAGAATACGGTTGTGTTTTCGACATTTTTCGAGGATTTTTGGGTGTCTGAGCGCAAGAGGGTATTGAAATGGAATTTTGGGTCATTTTGGTAGTTTTCCGGCAATGGAAAAACGGCCAAAAATGAAAAAAACATTGTACATAGCAAGATTTTGCAGGGTTTTTGGATGCCAGAGCATTGAAAACACTGCAAAAACAAGTGTTTTGGACTGACGTTATAGCAAAAAACGTGTAAATTACCGTATGCTTGACTGGAAACATTACAAAACACTGTCAAAAGCAATGTTTTGGAAGGATTTACTGCCTTTATGGCAAAAAACGTGTAAATTACCGTCTGTTTGACTGGAAACATTGGAAAAACACTGTCAAAAACAATGTTTTGGAAGGATTTCTTATATATATGTTGGAGTTTGGCTACCGGCATTGGAACATGGAAAAATTGAAGAAAACACTGTAAATAGCGGTATTTTCAACGGTTGGGGAGATAAGGGAATTGGAAGCATTGTCGAACATGATGTTTTCGACCGGTTTTATGGCGACAAAAGTGTAAAGTACCGTGCTTTGAAGGAAACCATTGCAAAAACATGGAAACACATTCAAAGAACACGGGATTTGGGGGACTATCGGAAGCATTGTCGAACATGATGTTTTCGACCGGTTTTATGGCGACAAAAGTGTAAAGTACCGTGCTTTGAAGGAAACCATTGCAAAAACATGGAAACACATTCAAAGAACACGGGATTTGGGGGACTATCTGGGCGTCGTTGTCTAGCTATTTGAAATTCCGCAGCTTGGAGAGCCTCCAAGGGAGGGAAAAGTGAAAATTCCATAGCTTGGGAAGCTGTCACGGCGGGGAAAAGTGAAAATTCCCTAGCTTGGGAAGCCCCCACGGGGGGGAAAAGTGAAAATTCCCTAGCTTGGGGAGCCCCACGCGGGGGAAAAGTGAAAATTCCCTAGCTTGGGGAGCCCCCACGGGGGGGAAAAGTGAAAATTCCCTAGCTTGGGGAGCCCCCACGGGGGGGAAAAGTGAAAATTCCCTAGCTTGGGGAGCCCCCACGGGGGGGAAAAGTAAAAATTCCCTAGCTTGGGGAGCCCCCACGGGGGGGGGAAGTGAAAATTCTTAGCTTGGGGAGCCCCCACGGGGGAAAACCACCCTTAGCCCCTCTCACGGACCGAAATAAACCTGCGGTGTGGGCGGCCACCCCACGCGAAGCGGGGTGAATAACCAGTTGCTGCCTGAAGATATCCGAGGCATTGCATCATCTGTGGATATGTTGCGTCCACAAATCTGTCCCAATCTGTCCCAATCTGCCCCAATCCCGGTCCTGGCAATTTCGCTGCCAAATCCCGGGCTAACTGTGCGGCATGGGCCTCTGCGTTGAACAATTTTGAATTCCTTAGCTTTGCAGGTCGCAGGATTCGTGGGGCGTAGGGCCGAAGAACCCATTGCCTTGTTGCTTTAGCTACGGTGCTGAACCAAAAATGAAAACAATGATTGCGCGCAGGGAATCAATCGAGCATACTAGGTCTAATTTCTTTCGCAGTTTTCTATTCTCAGCACGATGCAAGAATTTCATCCAAAAACGTGGCCGAACGTATTTCGTGAGTTTCGTGCCAAGCAATCAAGATTCAATTCAGCATGGGCCGCAGCCGTGCTGTCATTCACCAACCGATGCAATCGCTCGTGGCGATGAAGAGTTTCGGCTACCAGGTGCTGTTGCCGTCGTTCCTGAAGCAAATGTTCTTGGAAACCGAAAAACTCCAACAAGACGATGTGCACGACATACAAATAATTGGGATTTTTGTATGTTTTAAACCACTACCACGGTTCGGCCAAGACACAGCCCAATCAATAGCAGTTCGCCCATCACTGTCCAACACGCATGTTTCAGCCTCATCATCGTCTGTCATATCTGTCATCTTCAAGATGACGCAAAGCCATTGAGGGTAACACTTTCGCTGCGAGCAATGCCTCCACCACTCCTTGCAGAATTTCTCAGAAACGTGTTTTCTTTCGAAATTTTTAAAAAATGAATCGAAATCTGACCACCTTTGCACAAATGCGCCTAAATGACCGCACCCGGCGGCAATGTGAAGAGCAGTCCAGCCGCCTCGACAAACAACGTCACAGGCCACGGCTCACTAAGAAACACTGAACGCATGAAACCTGTTATCTTTGGGGAACAAAATTATCCAGACTGCAGCTGGCAACAATTAAACGTATTGAACTTTAGCCTTCCGTCCAAGCAATATTTCACCTTGAACTGGGTCCTACGATGCCATGTGTTGCCAAATTTGGTTTGAATATGAAATCCGTGCAAAAAAAAATGCAAAGTCCCAACCAAATATGCTCCGCTCTTCCACCTGCTCTTGCAGAAACACCTGCGACACCACCATACACCACCTTCCTCTTTTCTGTAGGACGGCCGGAATTTGCATTTCAAGCAGCCATTCCTTTGCCTTAACGACCCTAACGATAATGCCCGACCGCTCCGGGGCGGAAGTTTCCAAAAAGGATCCAAGGAATTCAAACCTACACGATGAATTCCTAGTTTTGGGCCACCCAGTGTTTCAGATCATAAACACCACATCCCCTGACAGGCACGACATGTGTTATTTTCTCGCTAGCGCGAACATTTCTGACAAGCGCAAGTTTTGCGGGCAATTAGGCAATGCTTGAACCAAGCCGATATTGATAATTTACACCAAATCTTCCCACAAGCGCGCATTTGTACACGCCCAGCTGGTGCTGGAACCTAACTGACATCTGGAATTCGCGGTTGGGGTCCAGCAGTGCCCGCTGACATTTGGAGCTCGCACTTGAAATCCGGCAAAATTTCACCACCTATTTATACACGGTTTCAGACCTCAGTTTGATAATAAATTTGCAAGGAAATCGCAACCTGAAAAAAAAACACCGCAGCCAAACAAATCCAAAAAAGGAAAATGAGATACAGCATCCACCCCTTAAAACCTATACAAAAGCATGTTTTTGAAGAAACAGCACGCAAAAGACTTGCAAAATAGGAACCCAGTACCAAGGTCCAACTCAACGAATGGCATTTGTTCAATGCACCCCGGATCAACGTTCTCGTGTGCTGCTCATGGTTTGTAATTTCAACCTTATTGCATGGTTGAACAACACATACTAGGTCAACAATTGCGTTTGTTTTTTTCTTCAGCAACCCGTCCTCACCTGCGTGCCTTGTTTGCAGCATCCCCCGGGTTTCAAGCAATCGTTGCAATTTTTCGATGTTTAATATCCCCTACTCCACCTGTCACTGTTTGCATCCTTTACCCGACAAACTGGGTCAGAAGCTGCACGTATTACTTTTCAATCTTCGGGCATCACCACCCGTTAACATGCCTGCAAATTTCCATTTTATATAATATATGTTGGAAGGAAATGCTAACCTTAAAAAGGACCAATGCAACCAAACAAATCCAAAAAATGAAAATGAGATCCAGCATCCACCCTTAAAACCTTACAAAAAATGATTTTGAAGAAACAGTATGTAAAAAAAATTGGACAGTTGGAACCCAATACCAACATCCAATTCAACAAATGACATTTCTTCAATGGGCAAGAAGCTGGGCTAGCATCAAGTTTTCCATTCAATTCTTTTTTCATCACCCCCCACCTAGAAATGGGTTTTACATACAATCTGGAATCTCCAATGTTTTTCCCGCGAGCATGTGAGGGAAGGGTTCTTCTAATAGTGGGGTTCTGCTATACATTTTCACATCTACACATCTTCACACTTTCTCACCTTCACATTTTCTTATCTTCACATCTTATCATTTTCACATCTTCTCGCCCATTCTGTCATCTTCACATCTTCACATCCTCTCATCTTCGCGTCTTAACATCTTCACATCCTCACTTCTGCGCATCCTCACATCTGCACATCTTCACACATCTTCTCTCTCTTTCTCTCTTCTTCACATCTTCTTATCTTCACATCATCACATCTTCTCTCTCTCTCTCCCTCTCCCTCTCCCTCTCCTTCTCCCTCTCCCTCTCCCTCTCCCTCTCCCTCTTGCTCTCCCTCTCGCTCTCCCTCTCGCTCTCCCTCTCTCTCTCTCTCTCTCTCGCTCTCTCTCTCTCTCTTCTTTCTCTTCTCTTCTCTCTCTTCTTCTCTGCTCTTCTCTCCTCTCCTCTCCTCTCCTCTCCTCTCCTCTCTCTCCTCGCCTCGGCCTCGCCTCGCCTCGCCTCGCCTCGCTCGCCTCGCCTCTCTCTCCTCTCCTCTCCTCTCCTCTCCTCTCCTCTCCTCCCTCTCTCTCGCCCTCTCGCTCTCTCCTCTCGCCCTCTCGCCCTCTCGCCCTCTCGCCCTCTCGCCCTCTCGCCCTCTCGCCCTCGTCGCCCTCTCGCCCTCTTGGCCCTCTCGCCTTCTCGCCCTCTTGCCCTCTTGCCCTCTTGCCCTCTTGCCCTCGTCACTGTCTCTCTCCTTCTTTTTCTTTTCTCTCTCAAGGCCGCGGGCGGTGCCGACGAGGCGCCATGAAATGGCCACGTTTTCGCACGAAATGAATTTCAATCCTCAAAAATTGAAGTAAAATTGCGATTTAACATCTTCGGCCGCAACCCTTTCGCACGAAATGGAATTCGATCGTCAAAAACTGAGGGAAAATTGCGATTTAATTTCCTCGGCGGCAACCTTTTCGCACGAAATGAGGTTCGAGTGTCAAAGACCGCGGTAAAATTGCGATTTAACATCCTCGGCAGCAACCCTTTCGCACGAAATGAGGTTTGAGCGTCAAAAACTGCCGGAAAATTGCGATTTTGGCGCTTCGGCGGCAACTCTTTCGCACGAAACAAGGTTCGAGTGTCAAAAACGGATTGTTTTTGGCAAGTTTGGATGGTCCAGCAGCAACTTTTTCGCACGAAAAAGTTTCGTGTCCAAAACTGAGCGTTTTTTGCAAGTTTGGTTGGTCCTGTTAAAGGGTCTGCATGTACAAGTGCTTCTGTGTAAGAGCTCCTGTGTTACAAACGTCTGTGTGCGAAAGCGTCTGTGTGTAAAAGCGTCTGTGTGTAAAAGCGTCTGTGTGTAAATGCGTCTGTGTAAAAGTGCCTGTGTGTGAAGGCTTCTGTGTGTAAAAGCTTCTGTGTGTAAAAGCGTCTGTGTATAAAAGCTTCTGTGTGTAACAGCTTCTGTGTGTAATAGCTTCTGTGTGTAAAAGCGTTGTGTGTAAGAGCGCCTGTATGTAAAAGCTTCTGTCTGTAAAAGGTTCTGTGCAAAGCATCTGTGTGTGTAAAAGCTTTTGTGTGTGCAGGAGGCTCTGTGTGTAAACGTGTACAAGTGCTTGTGTCTAAAAGCTTCTGTGTGTAGAAGCTTCTGTGTGTAAAAGCTACTGTGTAAAAGTGTCTGTGTGTAAAAGCGTCTGTATGTAAAAGCGCCTGTGTGTAAAGCATCTGCGTGTAAAAGCTTCTGTGTGTAAGAACTTCTGTGTGTAAACGCGCCTGTGTGTAAAGCATCTGGGGGTAAAAGCTTCTGTGTGTAAGAACTTCTGTGTGTAAACGCGTCTGTGTAAAAGCTTCTGCCTGTAAAAGCGGCTGTGTGTAAAAGCTTCTGTGTGAAAAAGCGTCTGTGTGCAAGAGCGTCTGTGTGTAAAAGCGTTTGTGTGTAAAAGCGCCTGTGTGTAAAAGCGTCTGTTTGTAAAAGTGCCTTTGTGTAAAGGGTTCTGTGTGTAAAAGCTTCTGCGGGTAAAAGCGTCTGTGTATAAAAGCTCCTGTGTGTAATAGCTTCTGTGTGTAAAAGCGTCTGTGTGCAAAAGCGCCTGTATGTAAAAGCTTCTGTGTGTAAAAGCTTTCGTGTGTGCAAGAGGTTCTGTGTGTAAACGTGTACAAGTGCTTGCGTGTAAAAGCTTCTGTGTGCAAAAGCGTCTGTATGTGAAGCGCCTGTGTGTAAAGCATCTGCGTGCAAAAGCTTCTGTGTGTAAGAACTTCTGTGTGTAAACGCGTCTGTGCAAAAGCTTCTGCCTGTAAAAGCGGCTGTGTGTAAAAGCTTCTGTGTGTAAAAGCGTCTGTGTGTAAAAGGTTCTGTGTGTAAAAACTTCTGTGTGTAAAAGCGTCTCTGTGTAAAAGTGTCTGTGTGTAATTATAGGGCCGGATAACCCCACATGTTACCAACTTCTCTAGACTTAGACTGAGCATAGAAAAGCAAGAAGGGAAGAGGAAGTATAAGAGTGATGGAGGGGTGATGGTGGGTGAGTTTTTGTGCATGCACAGGTGAGTGAATGAGAATGTGAGTGAGTGAGTGAGTGAGTGAGTGAGTGAGTGAGTGAGTGAGTGAGTGATTGGGTGAGTAAGTGAGTAAGTAAGTGAGTGAGTGAGTGAGTGAGTGAGTGAGTGAGTGATTGGGTGAGTAAGTGAGTAAGTAAGTGAGTGAGTGAGTGAGTGAGTGAGTGAGCAAGGGAAGAGGAAGTATGATAGTGATGGAAAGGCTATGGTGGGTGAGTTTATGTGTATGTATGTATGCAAATTAAATGATGTATGTGTGGTGTGTGTGTGTGAGTGAGTTTATGTGTGTGTGTGTTTATGTATGTGTGTGATATGCTGTGTTCATGTTGTGCGTGCCTGTGGACATAAGGGAGTATGTGGGTGTAGGTGTTCATGCATGCGCGTACGTGAGTGCATGGTTGTCGTTCTCGAAGTGGCATAGACCAGCATCATGACCTCAGGAGACCCAGCATGCAAAAACAAGCAATGATAAACTCACAAGCAATCAATCTGAATGAGCTGAGGTGAGGTGAGGTGAGGGAGGGAGGGAGTGAGTGAGTGCGTGTACATCCGACCCCGTGGCAATGCACATTGTCCCACGCCTGCCACGCAAAAGAGAGAAGCGGAGACCCAAGGGACGGGACACCGGAGGGACGCCGGGCGTACATCCGACCCCGGAGGGACGCCAAGCGTACATCCGAACCTTCCGGCGGAGCTCTTTCTGTTTTCGAGTTTTTACGCTGCCGCGTTCGCCACGTGGGCTTTTCCCTCCTCCTTTGGATGATTCTGCTATTTTGCCAACACTCGGTAATAACAGATACTACACTTGATCGATGAAGGAAAGTTCCAAACACGGCACCATAAAAAAGCTATGGCGCAAAACAAGGCTCTTAA